TTTATATATATATTGCACATTAACATTCATGAACCTCTCTTGCAGTACAAACTGCAGAAGTTTATGTATTAGTAACTTACTTTAGGGCTACCATTCATGTTGTGTGCGGGGCAAATTAGGGGAATGTACCTACCACTGACAAAGCTGGGTCATTCCTGAAAAACAAGCTGTCAAATCCTTTGTGTCTGTCACCACTTTTGGGAAAAATTAATTGCTCCTCAAACCTCCAGAACTTGTGGTGGTCTTGGGCTGCTGCTTAGAAGCCAACTGCCTGGTTTTGGAGTCATCCGGTCTCTCACCCTGAGAGCTCACAAGCTGGTGTGTCACAGTAAGTCCTTACAGAAAATTGTTCATTTATTTACTTTATTCTCCTTCTTTGTTTACCAAAACAGTTCTACTGCACAGAACCATCTGACAGAGATCTGCACTTGCAGCAGCACAAATTACATTCTTCAGTTTTGCACTGTCTAAACTATAAACACTATTTTTTATTTCAAGAAATTAAATTGTCCACCATTTCACATACCTCCTTTCTGTTTTAGAGGAAAATACGAGAAATCAGAAAGCTGTCCCACTGCTATCAGATCAGTATCACTGCTATCAGACTGAATCCAGGCAGAGAGGCAGGAGGAACTCTAGGACACACGCAGGAAATCTAACATGCAGAGAGCACAGATTGAATTCACTGTAGCACCAGTATGCATGTGGACTATAGAGCCGAAGAAGACACCACAAAAGTTTATAAATTAAGGTGACCAAGGTCTCCACTGTCTTTACAAGCAGGTAGTCATCAGAGATACATATGCAATGGCTTCTGAGCATATACTAGGGCATACAGAAAGACTGACTAGCAGGAAAAATGCATCTCTAGTTTTGTCTCAAGGGTTACAAGTCTCAGCAGGGTGTACAACTGCTTTCCATTACTCTGTAAAAGAATTTTAATAATTTGGAACTAGGTCACTCTGGACATTAACAGCTCATGACAAAGAGCAGACCTGAAATCAAGTGGTATGCACAAAATGGAGTAAAATACTTTAAAAGTTACTCAGAAAAATTATGCAATCATTCATCATGAAACCATTGTGGTTTATCCATTGCATATTTTCCTTATACTTTTCATATACATTATACAAAACTTGAATCATTTTGATTCAGGGAAAAACCTCATAAACTCCTAACCCCTTCTCTCTGGATGCCCTTTATAATGACCATGAATACTGTTGGTCTACATAAACTAAGTATGTCATCATTAAATTCATTAAAAATTTTATAGAATCACACACTCTAAACTAAAGAAGGATGATCTTTTTTTATTTTTTCAGCATTTTGAAATCCCTTTACATTAACTATTTTGTGATATCCAAAGCATACATATAATTCATTCCAACAGAGCAGTTAAAGAACAGGCTGTGTCAGCCTTTTTACATTTGGTACATAAGCATTACCTCATTCTAGTGTTTTTCTTCAAGACTTTTTTGCAGGGAGGGGTTTTGTAATGTATAAAACACTGGCTGTTCATTAAGAAAGTGGTCTGGGTAAAAAAGTTAGCAGTTTGTGAAGGAAACTCCAAAAACATAGCCTAGTCTTGAGTCTTTAACTTCCACATGGCGGTTGGGTTAAATGTCTCATCTTCTGTAGTTCATACAATTTTGTATGTCTATGATGGTTTTAAAAGCTGTTTTCCTACTTCATGCAGGAAAATAAAGATTATTCAATGGCACTCCACCACTCCCAAGCAGGCCAATGCAGAGCTTGTACTAGTTCCAAATTTGGGTTTTCCAGTAAAAAATGTAGGAAGTGATTTATGTTGGCCATATAAACATATTATTTCCAATCTGAATACAAAATCTCTCTTGCCACCTAGTTGATCTAATCCAAGATGTTAGGCGTAATCTCAGCATTGAAAACTGCTGCCGCTCTGTGGAAACACTGCCTCATTCCCACTACTGCAGAATGAACATCCATCAACTTGGGAAGATTTAACTGTGAGGAAGAACATCTATTCTAGTACCTCTAAGTGCTTGTTTTCCCTACTTTTTTCTTCATATTATTCTCATGAAATAAAAGTTTCTTTGGAGCTTTGCAAGTCATGCTTTGGTGAGCAGCATCAGAATGCTCAAGAAAAGCTACAAAAAAATCACTGAAACTGGATTTTCTTAAGATGTGGTAGACACACATGACATGACAGCACATAGTTTGTCTGGGCAGGGTTTCAAAAATAAATTGGATACAAGGACAATTTATAGTTCTGTAACAACATGCCTATGTGAAATGTGTGCAGTTTAGAGACACCAAAATTTGATTTGTGAACATTCTCAAGTGCTTACCTTCACAAAGAAATTCCCACCAATTCCCAGTTACAATGCCTGTAAGAGTTAATACATGAAAATAGCCACACTGTACACTGGAACAATTGTGCTTTCCACGTGTATAAATGAGTTTTGCCTTTCTCTTCTGTGACTTTTTGGGGGCTGCTGAGGTGCAAATGTGCATCTTTAAAATGATAACTTTGTTTTGCACCAGCATGATGACAGACCTGCACTGATAGTGTATGAGAATGGGCAGACACCATTTGACTTTTGAGACCCTCTTCTGGTCACCCAAACCACCACTAAAAGCTTCCTCTTTTAGTCTCCATTGTCTCACAATTTGCAAGCAAGACAGAGTGAAGGCATATCATTAATTAGGTGCCAGGACTAATTTTCTCACATGTTAAAAGGATAAGGCTGACTTTCCCTAGGGCAAAGAAAACAGAGAAAATGGTGGCGCCTCCTCCCAACCTTTCACTCCATTTCCCTCTCAGCATGCCTGTATCTCAGCTGTCTGTGCCAGGTCAACCCCAGACTGATAAAACAGGGTTATGGGGGGAAAATGACCCTTGGAGAAGGAGCAGAGATGGGGCTGGGCAGATAAAGGATGGTGAGGCCGTTGGGGCCGTTGAGGGGTGGCAGTTGGGTGGCCACAGAGTGTCCCCAGGCGAGTGGCTGCTCCAGGATAGGTGCAAGGGGGCTGCAGGGGTCTGTGTGCTCCTGAGTGGGCTCCCAGCTCAGGGCTGAGTGGTACCCAAGCCATTGTGCTGTGGTGGGCTTACTGTGTCAAACCACATGGTACACAAGTGTCTGGGAGCTCTCACTGGTGTAGGGCACTGGTGTTGGCCCTGAACCGGCCTGTGTGTGGGCATTTGTTCACTTACACGTGTTTCTCTCTTTGTGTGTGTGTGTGTGGGCAATGATCCACCATAGTGCCACCTAGGAACTCCCAAGGATCCACTGTCACACACAAGAGCTTATGCTCAGGGTGTTATACATCTGTAAGCACATACACGCAGCAGCATGCCAAAATCTTGCAAGCTCTTGGTTGGGTATCTTCATGTATATATGTGTGATGAGGGTTTGTGCTAAGATGTTGAATGGTTATCTGCAAAGACTCTGCATATTTGAGTATTAATTTGAGAGTGTATTGGAGTGTGCACCCAGGTCTATTTTTATGTCTGACTAGTTGAAGGAAGCAGTTTTGGTTGCAAAGAGTGTAGTAAGAGATGCAGAGTTTGCACGTCCATGATGAAGTGTGGATAGAAAAATGTCTTTTGTCAAGGTTAGAGCAGCATGTTGCCCATGTCATAGACAAAGGAGAAAACATGCTTGTCTGTCCAGGTTTAATCAGTATAGTACTGACGGCATTACTGAGGGAATGTTATGTGAATGTCACGTGAAAATTTTAATTAAAAGGAGAGATGTCACATGTAGCCTTCACATGTCTGCCACATATGTCTACAAGGCCAGACTAATGTGCACATCTGCATATTCTCATACAGCAGCACATATCTGTGCTGCAGTGCTTTGCTTTGCCATCTGAGTGCATATGACTGCATATTTTTAGTTGGAGAGCACGTGTAGAATGATTGCGATGTATAGACCATTTTAATGTATACTGGTTAATGTTTTGCAGAACTGATCTTGCAAAGAATTGATTGTCATTGCTCAGTGAAGAAAGTAACAATGAAAGATAGATTATTTGGATGAAGATTTCCTACTAATGTGACATATTTCCATCTGCCACTTCCGTCTAGTGTCAATAGGCAGCATCATCTCCTTAGAGTCTTTAAAGGATAGGAATTAATGCCATGCTTTGTATCATTTAAAGGATTTGAAGAAAGCTTCCATTTAAAAATTTAATTCTTACTGACACTCTTATATGAAATGTGAAACAAGCACAAGAGCTCTCCTATTGTCTTCTGTGCTTTGCTGAGTATATCAGGATAGTTCAAATCCTGGACATATTTGCTGATTGACTTCTCAAGTAACAATGCCACGGGAGGTCACATTCATGGAGGCTCAATAATTTTCCCTCAGGTCAAGACCACCATCTTAACCAAGAACTCTAGAAACTCAAGCTGCCCATGCTGAAGTCAAACTCCACCCACATATGTATCAGAACTGTTGCTCTGTCCAGTTCACAGTTAATTGTCTATCATAAATATATTAAGGACATTATTAATAAATGACAGAATGATGAATGTATCAGGATTTAGTTATGGGGCACAAGTATGTCATTGCTTTTTATGTATCCCAGCAGACAGGAAGACTGATTTGATGTTATTAGAGTTGAAGCTCTTTAATCAATATTTTTTCTGAAATGGTCCAGTGTTACAGCAGCTGTCATCCCATCAAAGTGCCTGTCCTACTCTGAGCAGAGTGATTATAAGCTTGAAAGATTGTTGAGGTCAAAAGTTTTGCACACCCTAACAGATTAAGATACTAAATTTTCTTCTGTTTCTTGTGCCATGTGGGTTTTGCAAACAGTTGCATATTTCTCCACAGAATTCCAGAGTGGAGTATTAGCTACCATTATTGTAGGGCCTTCAGTTGAGTTAATTGCAAAGGGAATCAGAGGGCAGTGATACTTTGAGAACCATAAAAATCAGTTCTGTATGCCACATGGTCTTTTAAAAAACTTTAATATGCTTTGGATTTCAATATTTTTTGTATAATTACAGGGAAATGGCTGGCAAGAAGAAAGAAGTTCAGCTCCAGGTATAAATCCTAATTACTTGAACAACTTTAGAGGGAAATAGATTCTTTTTCTGCTTTTTTAGAATGTTAAAATGTTAATTATTTTGTTTCAGACCTTAATAACCGATGAAGATCAGTGGGATGAAATGCTGCAGATAAAGGGTATAGTAGGTACTAACAGCTGATATTTTCTTTTTAATCTTTCATGGACATATGTGCATGTTTTCATATTTATATATTAGCTTTAATAGATACTCTAGAAGCCTAGCACCATATCTTTTAAAGAAAGGCTATATTAATACATATTTATAAAAGTATATCATGGAGTCATTGAACCATACAATTCTTCCATTTGGAAAAGACTTTTAAGATCATATATTACAATTATGAGTATACAGTATCTTATATGATAAATTCTCATCAAAATATTTATTTAAGTCTTATTTTTATATACTGCTGTACACCAGTGTTTAGAAAATACCTTTCAATATGGTATTCTCCATGGTAGGGAGTTGGATGCTTCTGTGTGTAAAATCTTTCACAGACTAAATATTTATTGCAGCATTCTAGAGAGGGCATGTTCCATGACATGCATTATTCCTAGTTTTCAGTTCATTTAGTCCAATAACTGTCTCCTAGCTCTCCTAGGAACTGTTTTCAGAAAAAGGAAAAAATCTGCAACAGGATCATATCTGCAGAGATAGTAATAGGCAGGATAAAAATGAAAACCAACAGTGGGAAAGAAGAAGAGAACATAAAAGCAAAAGGAATATGAAAGAAAGGTTGCTATTTGGATTAATCATCTCAAAGAGTATTCTGAAGTAGGTTTCCAATGTCAAAAGTAATTGAAATTAAAGAGTATGTATCCAGTAATGTATCCACTGAATCCATTGATGAATTCATGATTCATTGTCTAGAAGAGGACTGAGAGATCCACACAAATGCCTTCCCAGTGCTGCTTCAGTGCAAACATAAATGTCTCATTTTATAAGTTCCTCAAATCATCTGTTTGTAATTCCAAACTATCACCTTTTAGTGATAGAAGTGTATCAAGCTTGGTGTGGTCCTTGCAAAGCTGTGCAGAATTTATTGAGAAAACTAAGGATCGACTTTAGTGAAGACAATGTGCTACATTTTGCCGCGGTAAGGACACAAATCCTGTGTGTGACCATATTCACATTTAGATTTAAATATATCTTCTGATCTGCATATGCAGAGCTTTCATCTTATTGTTCTTATACTGAGTTGCTGTAATTTTGGCCTGGTTGCTTTTCCTGCATATGTCCTCATAAAACTTTGTTTAGAAGTAGATTAGAAATGACAATAAATATGTAAGAAGCTATGATTAAAAAGAGCTGATATCCCACAACTTTTGTTTTCCTTGATGAGATTGAAGAAATATTCAAAAGCCAGACTGTACAACTTTTAGTTTCAGGTCTCTGCATTAGGAACCATTGCACTTGAATTCTTACATCCCTGAAAAACTACTGCATCTTTTTTTGCAAATGTTACCTTTAATTTCATTTTTAAGAAAATGAAAAGGGGGGAAATTTAAAAAAAATCACAAAACTCTAGTAGTAAAAATATTTGTTTACACTAGCAGTGTATATATATATACACATATATACACACACACACACACACACACATATATATATATATATATGTGTGTGTTTCATACCTCCTATTTAAAGTAGATAAATTTAATCCAAAGGCTCAGTTTATCCAAGATGTTGACCAAGTTCATCCTTTTTCATGTTAGTGAAAACTTAAAATTCCATGATGAAAGAACTTTTCAGAAAAAACCATGAATTTTTTATACATGAAAAAGGCAGGGAGTTATGTTTGAAGGCTATATCACGTGCTTTCCTACAGCTGACCGCATTCCACAAAAAAATTAATACACTGGATAAGCTCTTCCATCAAGACTACATGGGCTACTCCTTCATTTATATATGCTATTATAGCCTACATGAGAAAATAGTATCAAGAAAAGATATTTTTCCATTATTAATTGCTTTAATACAAAGGGAGGACAATCCCATATTACCAAAACAGTTCTTTCTTCATCACTACAAGGACTGTCAGTTGTATTTAGGACTGCAGTTTGCGTTTGCAACACCAAAGTATTTAAGAGTGAGGTCTTCCTGTGAGTAAAAAGGTTTTCTTTATATATGCATACTTACTTATGTAAGCAAATAATGTTTTTTGTCTGACTTCAGGCAGAGGCTGACAGCCTTGAAATTCTGAAACCATTTAGGAGGAGCTGTGAACCTCTGTTTCTTTTTAGTGTTGTAAGTACATCACATCAACTTCTTTTAATGTGCTGCCTACTTCTGCCTCAACTTTCCAATAGATTTTAAAATAGATGTGAAGCTGTACAAATCCTATCTTTACATTTTATATTATGTAGGATGGTACTGTCTGATGTTGTTTGCTTGAGCCATTTTCCATGGCTGAATCTGGTGATTCTCAAGCACATTTTTGTTGTAGCTGTTGCTCGTAAGGCCACAGAAGAATTGTGGTAGTCACTGTTTTGGTGGTTAGTGAGAAGTCCAGGTAAGTTTTCCAGGTTTGCCTTACATAAAGTGCCTGCCTGTGGTTACACTGAAATTATTTTATGCACTGTTTTCATCATGGAAAGAGAGTTTACATTTCCTGGCATTATAAGATTTTTAAGATAACAGATAAAATTGTGTTTTCATACTTGAGGAACTGTAGCAATTAATCATATATTTATTATCTCTCAGTGATGGGCACAGAAAGCTGGTTCTCTGAGGACTGCTCACTTAAGAAGAGATGGGGGTTGTTTTAACTTGAGGGTGCCAGGATTTGAATTTCCATAAGCGAGGACCAAAGATAATGACACTTTCAGGACTCTTTCAGGTTTGAATCTGAATGCAGCCTAGAAATGTTAGCAGTATTTTTGGTCACCATTAGCTTCACTACTGTGCACCTGAATGTGGTAGAGAATGCAGTGAAAAGTCACACACACACAACAAAAAAAAGATGGAAAACTCCATGTTACAGAAATTAAGAACAAATAAAATCCGTATTTGCATTTGTTTCCAACTGTATTATTAGTATTGAGCCTAGAAATAAACATGGAAAATTTGGTAAAGAAGGAAACAAGGAATTAAATGCACAAAAGTTTCATTCTGAAATAATAGAGGCAGCAGTAGTTTTGGTGTTCACTTCAGTGGTCATAAGAAATTATTCTGTAGCTGGAAAAAATTAGCAAGATATTGCAGGCTTCAAAATTTCAAGTAAATGTGTAAATTAAGTGATGAAAACTCATTGAGAGTGTTATTTTCTCTTCAACAGCATGGTAAAATTATTGCAATGGTGAAAGGTGTAAATGCTCCTCTCATAACTAAGGTAGTAACAGATTTAGTGGAAGAAGAGAGGCAAATTGCAGCTGGAGAGAAGGAACGTGCTGAGGTACTCACAAACCAGATACTTATGCATAAATGTATATTTTTATTGCGCTTACACTGTTTCTCTAAATGTCTACGATGGTGTCTAGATAATGTCTAATTTTTTGCATTTTGGTCCTAACAATAAAATTACATATATGATGTGCCTTTAAGAAATTAAGTAAAATTATCTGGGTCCTAACACACTTTTCAAGATCACCTAGCCCAACCCCTCTTGCCACAGTCAGTGGCACTTTTCACTAGATCAGTTTGCTCAAAGCCATGGGGGATTGCTCTGTACCTGATGAATCCAGTTTGCTACAAAAAACAAAGGCCAAGTGTATTCTATCACCTTTGACTCCTGACTTCCAGGTAACATGAGGACATAAGGACAGCTCAGTCTGAGCTCAATAGCCTGCACTGTGAAAGGTCCCACTGTTGGAATTCACAGTAGCAGCATCAATCCTCCCTTGTTGCTTGTTCTCCTCAGAACTCCCAAATTTCCATTATGGTACTTTATATAAACTTGACAAATTTACAGGTTAGCCTAGCAATGCAAGAAATTGAGAGATGGATGAAATGCCACTAGCCCATAAATGTTTTAGTAATCTTTTTTCTTTCTTGACTATTTTTTATATATAACTTAGGAACTGCATCATTTGAAACAAAGACATGGGAAATAATCATGTCTCATTGCCTGTTTTGTTTAAATGGAGATGAAAGAACTCCACTTAGAGTAAAAAGAGCATTTTAACAAATGGAAACTCAGTTAAGGAAAACCAGACTGACCAAAGGGCCTTCTAAGAATTGCTTGCTTTCCAGGGTAGCAAAATTAAAATTAATGTGTTTTAAAGATGTGACAGCTGTGTTTGCTGACCTTGCATTTGCACTGGTGATGCACTTTTACTCCATTTGCAATTACCTTAGGTAGAAGAACTCGTTTTTCATGATGAAGGCTCATCAGACGGGTCTGCTGAGGAGGTTGTGGAGGGTAAATATATTTGATGTATTTTAGAAATGTTAAAGGGAAGAAAGAGAACAAACATCTTTTGGTTAATAATTGTCTATGTCTAGCACTAATAGACCTTCTTTGGGTGAGTTAACAAAACGCTATCATTGAACTTTCTTCTGTAAGGAATTAATGTACTGGGCTGTCAGCATCAACATTTTCACCCCCACACTGGGAACCCTCAGACTTTAGAGAGAAGTAATGTGTGCCAGGGAATTTTCCTGTGTAAAGTTAAGGCCTGAAAGTCACTTCTACACAGTCCCTGTGTGAGCAGTGTACTTCTGTTGAGGTGGAATACCAAGATGGGGCCAACCTGAGAGGATTGTAAGAGTTAATCTGTGAAACAATGGCATGCCTTCTCTCAGATTACTTTTTCACCCGATTAGACTTAATAACAGATTTTTTAAAGTACATAAATCCATGGTAGTAGGATAAGCTTCCAAAAAGATTCAAAAATAAGCAACATCCTGTTTAAAAGTCCTGTCTGTGATTTATCTCAGCTTTTTCATTACCTGAGACCTACATCTTTTCTATTTTTATTGTTATCTGTGGTTACTGAATGTTCCTACTTCTTCACCTCTGCAGAGAATGCCATTCTACAACCCTGAGATGGAACAAAATCCTCCATCCTCTCCGTCTTCTTGATCTTGCTTTTTCTTTTCCCCATGAGAGGCATTAGATCACAGTCATGGCATCCCTTTTCCTTCCTCTTCATGTTTTGGTTTGGTTTTTTATTTAATTGTATGGTTCACCTGACAAATTCCTGACCTCAGCTTTAGCCTATATTTTTTCTCATAAACCCTGTGAGACCTAAAAGTACAGTATTATCATTTAGCAATTATCTACAGACTTCATACTAATCCCCAAAATCTAAACATGATAGAAAATCAGAAAACTGTGCTTTAGTTCATGTTGAGCTTCAGGTTAGGGGATCTCTCAGACACTGTAATACACTAACATTTGGCAGGAATATTTTCCTCAACACATGCAGTTGCTTAAGTGTTTGTACTATTGGTAACAAGTAGTAGTCTGATGTCTCCCTTATCACTATCTTAAATTATTCCACAGTTTTTGGGATCTGATTGAGTTACAGTCAGATGCCTAACTGTAACCTTCTGGTCCAGTAAAGATGATTCCCTTTATTTTGATGAATATATTACTTAGCACATCAATTTTTCCCTTTTCAGAAATATTCACTTATTCTGTTGGAATTATAAAACCTGATAATGTCTTAGCAGGACGTGTAGAAGAAATTAAAAGAAAGGTAGAGAGAATTTTAAAATATTCATTTATTCTATTTATTTAAGAGACATAATGGCAAAATGTAAGGTTAAGTAGATCCTAATTTATGCCCAGACTTTGGAACAGAATCTGATAAAGCTTCTCTGCTAAGGATGACAATAGCACAATAATTTTTACCTGAAATAATATGACATTCAAATCTATACTATTGCTTTAATATTCTATGCCAGCAGAGGTTAGACATTGGTTCATATTGCTTCTGTTATGAAAAAATAAAAAGCCTTATGACAATATATATCAAGACCAAATTCAAAGAATTTTAATAAGTATTATGACAGGGACAGTGACCTTTGCAGGAAAGGGAATCAGAGTGCTATATGGGTTGTTTCTGCAATTACTTAATTACTTTACTTTAGCTGAAAAGAAAGGAAGCTCAGTAAAGGGGAAAAAAATGAAAAAAATGAAAAAAAAAAAAAAGCAGTGCTTGAAAAGAGTTTAGCTGGAGCAGCTGCTACTTGGCTCATGAGGTGTGTTCTCTGACAGAGGATGCACAGCCAGCCTTGTCAGGGCAGGCTGAAACCACTCAGCAGCACCACAGGGGCTTTTACAGAGCAGAGTGCTGGTGCACAGGTTAATTTTGAATTTTGTTGTATCATCAGTACTGGGGCTGGATACTGCCTTGGCTGTAAAAATACCAGTATATGGTACAAACCTCACACCAATGGATCGGGAACTTTGATGCAAGTCACGTGTGCCTCTCTCACAAATGCTTGCATTTAGTGCAGTAACCTAGCTTAAAACAGAAAATCATAAAGTAGATTCAATTTTTTCCTCATTTGCTGTTTCTAAAGCCAAGTAGTTTAACCTAATACAACAACTGTTAACAAGTACACATTTGTGTGACTACCACGGTTAGAATATAATTTATAATTTCTTGCAACATAAGTTGCATGTTGACCACTCACAGTGATCCAAAGGAGTTTAATCAATGTGAAATAAAAGGGATTATTAACTTTTGAATGAATGTACTTCATACATTAAACTGCACTATATTTCTTCTCAAACATTAACTTAGGGGTATTGTAATCCTGAAGTGAAGTGCTTTGAAAGGCTGGAAGTTCAGTTTAGACAAAGATAGAGATTATATTTTGAATATTTCAGAGAATTTAAAATTTAAGTTAGCTTCCAAAACCAATTAATTTTTAGATTTACAATAACATATGATTTTGTATGTATCTATTTTCAAATGCCCCTGAGTAATAAGTGAATAATTGCAGATTATAGAAGCAGGATTTGGCATTGAAGCAGATGAGGAGAGAATGCTTACTGAAGAGCAAATCAAAGTATTTTACTCCCGGAAAAAAGATGAGGTAAAACCAAACTAAAAACATAAATGAAAGGCTCAGGTAAAACATATAATTGTTACTAGATGTGCTTGCAAATCTCTGTATGGTAAATTTTAGGTATATTGAAGAACAGAATTAATGTAGATTTAGTACATTAAAAAAAATATATTCCTTCTCCCTTTTTTCACTGACTCATATAAATATCACTATGTAACAATCTAATATTCCAACCAAATTAAAATTACCTCCAATTAAATACTAAAAGATTTATTTCTTCTTTTTGTTATCTAAATGTGCATGATCCTTAGACATGGGGCTAAATTTATAACACTATTTATCAAAATAAAATTATACTGATTTTAAAATGTGTTATGACAGGTCTAGTGACCTTTGTAGGAAAGAAAATTAGAGTGCTGTATAGATTATTTCTGCAACTACTCAACCTTGGCTATTAGGTGCTGAAATATGGCACAAACCCAAAATCCAATGTCATCTATATGAGAGTGTATATCTATTTGACATATATTATTCCAGCCAGAAAATAAATTATATTACATATTGTACTTTTTTTCTTTCTAGATTTTATCATGGGGTTGTTCTGGGAATAAATACGTGCACAGGCAGAGAGGGAAAGCATCTCAGCCAAAATCTATTCTTTTTTTGTGTCTTGTCCTATATTAGGGGACAAAAAATAGCTAAAGACAGATATAAAGTTCAAGAAAATAATTAAATTATGCTGTCCCCCATTAAATTGCAGTGGTCTAGCAAACTGGCACCTGGATATGGTCATATTTTCCAGCAGAGTGATAACTAAAATTAACTGTTCAGAAGGATCTGAGGCAAAAAATTAAGTTCCTTAGCAAATATTTTTACCTTCTGCTATATGTGTAAGAGAGACAGAGGCTGGAATTATATTCAAACAAACAGTTTGTTTGATTTGTTTGATTTTATTAGAGGGAGCAATGGAAAGGTTCACCCAATCTGAAGGAGAAGGTGGGAAGGTGTTCCTGTGGCATTCCAAATGAATAATAGCGAGATGAGATGGCTCCTGCTGAAGTCAGAGAGAAAAAAGAAAACTGACAGTAATCACAGATGGCTGCACTATGGTTTAAAAAGGAAGTAACAGGGAGATCTTTTAAGAAACCATGAAGAGCTTGGTTTTAGCAAAGCTGGGATTGTAGGTTAGACAGAGACAATTTTGAAACAGATGTAAAAGTAATTCATTTTCATGGGAATAGCAGCCAAATTTGAGACTAGTTTGTTCATCTTGGGAAATGGGTTAAGAATATGCATAGATGTGAAGATAATTGAAAGAGAAAAGCAAAGAATTGAAAGCATAGATATGAATACTTCATCCTTGTATTACTAAAGGAAAAAGCTACCATATGCAATGACATGATGCTGGCTGATAAGGATTTAGTCAAATATTTCAAATGAGAATAGATATCCCCAATAAAAAGGTGACATACAAAAATGAAATGAAATTAACAATTCACACCATAAGTTTCAAAACTTATTTTTCTGATGGATATGTACTTTTATAAGATTGTAAGTTGAAACTGAAGAAGTGAAAAGCACATAGCAAAGGAAATGGAGAGCCTACAAATGTCTTGCAAACAGTTCAGTGTTCTATATTTATAGCCAGCTACATGACTTTTAGTTTCAAAAATTATTCATGGAACTGTATTGCAGTTTCTTATGTCACACTACATGCTGTATTACAAGCATAACAAGTGATCACATTGAATTTCTAGATAGTTTTCTTCATTCTTGTCATTTGCATTTTAACCTGGAAGAACATCTAGTACTTCTTTAAAGCAGTTATATGACTTTCTTTATCTCAATTTACTTTCTTTTTGGACATTTGATAATGCTGTCTCAAATGATTGATAAAAAATATCTTCCCAAACAATATATCAGAGTTCTGAGGAATGTATGTGAATGCCAGTTTCAGGAACAAGAATGTACGAGTTACTTTAAAAGCATAATTGTCTCATTTCCAATGGCAAACTCAGAGTTCATAGGGGGGGAAATTTTGTTTTTTAGCCTGACTTTAACGCATTCGTTCAATTCATGACGAGTAGACCATGCCATGTTTTGATAATCACTAAAAAAGAAGCGACTGGTGCTATTCCTCATTGGATAGAACTACGCAAAAAAAGTGAGGCTGTTGAGCTTGAGGAGCCAATCAAGTAAGTACCAGTGAAAATGTGTATCCATGATTCAGTCAGGGCTCAGAGCACACCATAAACCAAGGCACGTTCCTACAGATGTGCCCACATGTGCAGGTCCAGGGACCAGGCAGAGTTCTTTGCCTAGTCCTTCACAGGAGCACCACTAGAGATGCAGCCCCAGTTCTCAGGGCTGAATTCCCTTTTCTGAATGGGAATTCAGAAATTCCTTGCTTCCTAGTTAAGGATGACAAGGCAAGGTCATTGACTTCTTTGAGCTCACCCTCAGTGGGTTCTCAGAACAATGGGGACAATGACACTCAGAGCAATGGGAACCCTTCAAAGCTGATGTAGTCCTTGCACTTCTAGTTCACCCATGCCACGGGACTGCCTGCACTGCCTGCACTGAAGGTTGCACTCTTTCTCATGTTTGCCCCTATGTTCCTTGGGAAGCTGTAGATATGGCCAGGACAGACCTGACACATGCTCTTCTCCCTGGGAGCACTGTAAAAGTCAGCAGAGAAGGGGAAGCATACTGGGTTGGTGTCCCCACCCTGGTCCAAGATACAAATAATATTGTAGGGATTAGCTGTTCACAACCATGATATCTTGAAATGTGTGTTTTTCTTCGATGCCAAGGCTTGAGGAGAATTTAAAGGATGATAGTTGTATACACAGCCTCAGACAACAGAGTATTCGCAAAAATTCAAATATCAGATCAAGTTTTTTATTTAGACAAGACATTTACTTAATGCAACATGAGCTTAAATACTTTGTCCAAAACTTAATTTGTTATTTGTAATTAACATTTTTGTCAATGCCTGCTGCACCCCTTTCTGCATTAATAAGGTACAGTTGGGGAATACTGCATTTTCTACAAGTGGCCAAGAGGGACTTTATTTACACAGCTAAACAAACAGGCAAGAAAAAATGAGAAGTGTCTCTGTTATCAACAACTCTGTAGTGCTATCATTTTTATGATCATGCTGTACATAAATTAAGCACAAGACTTCTATTGATCATTTGTTATACACTGTGCACTTGTCAACAGTGATTCTATCTCATGAAACAGAGAAACTGTTTTGGATAAGCCAGAGGGGAATTTTTAAAGCGACCTGGCTGAGGTTTCTCCTTCAGAGCACATGATCATGCACTTTTTGAGAAGATTAATAATTCCCTTCTCAGAAATGTTACTTTACTCATGAATCTGAATTTAATAAAAACTTAGTTTTACATGCTATTCTTATGTTTCACTAAATTCTAAGAAAGTGTGTCTTCGAAAATTCAGCTTGTTAACACAAAGCAGTGACTTAAACACTGTATTACTTCATGTTTCATCAGGTTGACACCACTCAAGGAAACCGAAAGTCTGGTAAATTTATGTGATGTGCAAGACAGTATTGAAGATGCCAGCAGACAGCTTGCCTTCTTTTTCCCAAATTTTCATATTGAGGAGGGAGGACACGCTGAAAGGACTTTGGCCATAATTAGACCTAAGCTCTTGAAGGAAAGGCGAGGTAAGTGTTAATAACTGTATTTTCTATCAAGGGTATATAAAACACTCATATTTTGAATTTTGAATTATAAATTCTAACTCAATCAATGATTTTTTTGTTGTTGTTGTTATACTGTCTCTCCAGCATAAGGCCAAGAGTAATCTTTGGAATGAAGTTATGAGGTTAATTGTTTTAGAAGCCCCCTCAAGCCAGGTCTCATAAGCTCTTGGGGGTCTATAACACACCCAAGATAGCTCAGCTACCTTTGGAGGCATAAAAAAAATTAAAAAAATCAGCAGGATGGCTTCTGTTGCAGTGTTGGAAACAAAAAGGTTTAATAAAAGGCAAAATAACAAACAGAGAAAAACCAAGCCAGGTGTCAGAGGTTCTTGCTCCTAGTAAAGCACCTCACAAAAGTGATTAGTTTCTTTGTTCCCTTCTTTTTCTACTAAATTGCCCAAGCAGGACATTTTGGCTCCTGTCCAATTGGCTATCCTTAAGTTTGAGGTGAAGTCCCCCCGGCCTATGAGGTGGCTTTTTCACCTAATCGAGGAGAGAAATTTCTGGGCCTCTTTCCTTTTTGAGGGGACAAAGGATAGTTTTGTCACTCCCTCAACAGGGGGCACACTCCTACAGTTAATGTTTTTCATATCTTGAGAATGCAAATGTCAATGATATTTCGTTCCTTTGATTGATTTTTCAAGAAATTCTGCAGATGAAATATTTCTAGAAGACCTGTCTGAGAAGCTTGTATTTTCAAATGTAGTATAAGGAACTGGATTTCTCACCATAATAAAGTAGCTGATATTCTTGAATAGCAGACTCAGGATAGATGAATGGCAAGGGGAAAAATATCCAACCAAAGATGTTCTATGCTGCATGAGGCAGTGCTGCTCCAAGGCAGTTCTAAACAGACAGCGTTTCTACAGATTAAATTTAAAAATCTACCCCATTACATGAAGCTTCATCCAAACAAGTTTACTTTTCTCCTCAGTCATATATTTACATTTCTTCCTAGATTTCAGACAGTATTTTTATTTCTAACTTGAGAATCCCTGTAGTTGAGCAATCTTATGTGCAGAGAGCTGAAAGACTACAATCTCGATCTTTCCTTGTGAATTTATGTTACTTATGGTTGTCTAGTATGTTGCTTAGAGCAGCAGTTCTGCAGTTCATGTTCAAGTAATTACAAATTAATTTTGTAGGTAATTTTGGCATGTGCCAAATACTGCTAACTTACCCATGTGGTCTTGCAAGACTTAGTTAAATAAACATTTCACCTATTCAAATTCCTTAGACCTTCTTTTGCTGGTAGTAACATGTATCATATTTCTCAGTCAGGATTTCCTACTGAGATTTTTTTAAGCATAAGAAAGTCTAAATATGAAGAGGATCAGTTTTCTGAGTGTCCAGGCAACTAGTGATGCCTCCTAGCAGTTGCTTTAAATTAGTTTCCTGTTCTTGAGTTAGGAAACAAATTCACCCATAAAAAATTTAACATTACCATTGAAAAGTCTGTGTCATTTCTCTACAAGTGTTCAAATGAATGAATGGAGGGCAATTTAGCATTATCTAAATATATTTAACAGATTCCATCATTCAAAGGATACAGGACGATGGTTTCCAAATAGCAATGCAGAAAGAAGTAATTCTAACTGAGGAGCAAGTACGTACATTTTACCAAGAGCATGTAGATCAAGACTACTTCCCAGTCTTTCTAGAGCATATGACCAGGTAAGATTGAAATTTTCACATTAAATAATTGTGGAATCAGAGACTCACAGAATGGTTTGGGCGGGAAGGGATAATCACTGCCCATCTAGTTCCAACCCCCTGCCACAGGCAGGGACACCTTTCACCTGAATAAGTTGCTCAGACTTCCATCCAACCTGGCGTTGAACACTTCCTGGATAATACATGGCTCCAAGATTCACATGTGTCTAAAAGTTCAGTAAAACACAAAACAGGAACAGATAACTGCAGGTAATGGAATAATTTCCAAGTACAACAAATTAAAAAATCAAGCCTTTAAAAGTTACTAGCTACCCCATATTGCTGTATGTATGATGTCTCAGTGGCCAAGGCCACCTGATTTGGGTGAAAACAGCTTAGGTCTGCTCTGAAAAGGCTGCACTAAGGTTGTCTGTAAGACGGCTCTGAAATCTTCAACCAGGCCAGGTGCTGGATAACTTGGGGAAGAGAAATAAATCATGTTTGGATATTCCCTTCATGGCTGGGGCATGATTAGTCTTTGTCTGTCTTGCCATTGTGTGACAAAACACAGTAACTTTGCAATTTAAATTCATATTTATGCCCCATAAGCTTTTATCAGCCTGTACCTATTTAAATGATCAGATCAGTTTTAAAGTCCCCCAATACTGGAGCTCATTTTCCTAATCTGGGCTATATATAATCAAATTACTTTTTTAAAGTTCCAAGAGTTTGGGGTTTTGTTTGGTTTTTTTTGTTATTGTTGGGTTTTTTGTTTGTTTGCTTGTTTTTTGTTTTGTTTTGTTTTGTCTTAATGCTACTTTTCCCCTTGTACAGTGGTCCAACTCTTATATTGGCTCTAACACGAGAAAATGCTGTAGCACACTGGAGAAGTTTACTAGGCCCAAAGATCCTTGAAGAGGCTAAGGAAAATCCAGAGAGGTAATAGTCACAGAAGTAAAGCATCATTCACAGCTTTCAACTTCCCCTCACATTTCTCATCTCACTCCACATTCCAACTAGTGTAACTGTAGTGCCACCATCTGGAAACACACATGCATTTCTGCAGTTTTTTAAGCTTTTCTTGAAGGTAGTAGTGTATTACACATAGGAACATCAGCATTTTTTGAGATATAATGGCTGCTAAATAGAATTGACATCTGAATTTTAAAAAGTGCAATGAACTGAAAGGGGAACTCTTGAGGCAGAGAAAAAATGCTGGTAATACACATTCTTAATGGGGGGGAGGAGGTCTTAAAATACCACCATTATTTTTTTCTTGAAATACCACTAAGATTTTCTTGTAGCTTATTGAAAACTTTGCATCAGTAGAATATTTTGTTTGTGACTAAGTTTCTCCTACACAGTTTATAAACAGACACCTTAGTTCTGCCTGCTTATCACATTGCTTTAGAAAACTGCAATGGTATCACCTTACCTGCTGCTGACAGAAGTGCCATCTCATTAAGAAATAAGTGGTATTTCTTGGAAATACAACAACACCGGTATTGGGAGGGAGGGTGCTTATATTTCCGATTTCCAAATCAACAGTAATTTATATTCCCTGGGTTGATGCTAATTATAGTTCAGAGCTCAAAATGACTATTAAGTAACTTCCCTCCTTCAATGACTCTTAGTCTGCGTGCAGAGTTTGCGTTTGAACATCTACCTATCAACCAGCTGCACGGCAGCTCTACACCCAGTGATGCTCAGAAGGAGCTACAGTTCTTCTTCCCTGAGGAACACACCTTTGCAGTAATCAAACCTGATGCAGCTACTCCTAAAGGTAGGGCATTTAGAAAGTATAGGCTGTATCTAGTGATGCAATCATTTCTGCAAAGGATTAGCAATGCACACTACAGTAAATCACATCAAATGCATTCTTTGATTCTCTGAAGTACATTTTCTGTGCAGAGAAATCCTTTTACATGGCTTGCATAATTCAGATACAGATCTCAAATGTGACATTTCTTTTGCTTAAGCTGCCTACGGGTCTTTCTTCACTAGAATAGTGATGAATTGAAGAAAAAGAGTTCCTAGCTAAGTTAAACTGTTTAAGGGCCAGGCTTACTTACTTCTGAAAACTACCTTCCCAGCATCTTTATTAGACAAAGAGAGGGACTCTTGCCAAACCTGTATTACTTATTTCAGGCAGGTATCTCTACTGACTCAAAAGGGGTCATTGCTCAGTTAGATGCGTTCCCATCCTTGATTTAACTTCCCATCCGTGATTTAACTTACTGTTAGTCTAAGGGAATAAGGAGAAAAAATCAAAATTAAAAGAGCACTATGGACAATTCAGAATCTTGCCCTAAGGATATTTGCTGCCACTTTTTAAAAATCCTCTACCTAAACCCCCTCCTTAGCATTATTCTATTCTGTCCTAACAAATTTTGGTAGTCTTTCTAATGGTAATTCATCATTGGCTTTTGTGAGTTTATCTTCCCCTCTTGTGAAAATCCAGATTGATTTAGGCCAGCCAGCTGATGTTTGATACAGCTTTACAACTACAGTCCACACTCTTCAATGTGAGAAGTAACAGTGAATGCTATTGTCATAGTTTATTAAAATCTGGGTTTGATACATGCATCAAGATGGATAATGCAGTGACAATGGTTTCTGCCTATTTTAGAGGACTGTTAAAGTGTTTCTTATGTTGTCCATATTTGGTTTGATATTGTAAGAATTCTAATAGCTATTGGTGATTTTTTTTAGAAGAAGGCATCCAGTACTTTCTGAAACTTTTGAAGTGTTGGTGTTTGGGGTTTGCGTTTTTTGCATCTAAACCATTTCAAATCAAAAATTACTTGTTTGTCACTCTCCTAGATGAAATTCTGAAAAAAGTTAAAGAGGCTGGATTTAACATTGCGAAGATAAAAGAACAAGCTTTAACTCGGGAAATGGCTTTACACTTTTACAAGGACCACGAAGGAAAACCCTTTTTTGATGACCTGGTGAATTTTATGACACAGTAAGTGTTTTGGTTTACAGTACTGAGGTATGTAAGTAGACATCACTCTTGCTACAGTGCCAACAAAACATGCTACACCATAATTGGTGCAAGGATTTTACAACCTGTCACTCTTTCTGGCAAGTTGAGTGGCTTCTAGCAAATAATACTCTTCCTTTAAAAAGGAGATTTAAAATTCTTTTCAAACTTATGGATAGTTTTATTTTGGATTTTATTTTCCCTGAAAGGGAACTCCTTTCCAATGGGATCCTTTTTCTCCTCATGCAGGGCAAATATTTTCCTCATAATTATAGCTGATAAAAACAGTATGTATTGTCTTGCTTCAGAAATTATTGGATGAGAATGCCTTTTGGACAAGAAGTCCAAATCCAAATATCAGATCATCACAATCTCTTTGGCTTTCAGCTATGGGATTTTTCCTTAAACAAAACATGCAGAAACAAATTTTAATATTTTAACAGTTTAATAAAATTAAGATAGTTCAATGCTTATTGTAACCCTTCATGGTACCTCTGATATTAAAGCTAAGTCTGCATCTCAGAAACCTCAGAATAGTTTAAGAGATTTTTTTATATTGATTTTACAGGGGTCCATCAGTGATAATGGTCTTAACAAAGGAAAATGCTGTGGAAGAATGGAAGAAACTCATGGGTCCAACTGATCCAGAAGAGGCAAAGAAGACCTGTCCTGAATCAATTAGGGCTCAGTTTGCAAACGAAATTTTGGCTAATTCTGTTTACGGTTCATCTGATATAGAACAGGCAGAAAGAAGCATTCAGTTTGTATTTGGAGAGCTGGATGCAGACTAAACAATTAAGAGACGGTCTCTGAAAATTTATATGCATGCAATTAAATGGATTTGTCCACCCAGCCACTACATTTAAGACTACATAAACACACTTATTTTTCTTCAGAGTCCATCCAATTTTAGTTGAGAAAGTATTGTTATCACCTCTTCCATATTGCAAAACATAGCAAGGTAACAAGTAACACCTGCTAGGAGTTTGGCACTAGTAATAGTTTCTTTTGTTCGTAGATGCTTTTTCTGTTATCCTTTTAACAGATTTATGTGTTTCCATTAGTTCCAGGATTCTAAAGTGATTTGTGTACAGCTATCTTAAAAAGAGCAAGGGCAAGGGTCAAGGAAGGTGGCTAAAACACCATTAAGGCACTCCAGTGGTGATGTGGATTGAGTTCTGCAGTTCCAAATGTGAGCCAAACGGGGCTCCTGGACCCACTGGCCTACTGTGTGTGTGTGTGCATCCCTGGTGAGACTGCTCTGGGCTGTTAAGGTCTATTGATTCCCTCAGGACCCTGAAAAACATTTGCATTGTTTGTTTATTCATCCTTTTCCTAAATATCTTCTAAGGATTACTGTCACAGGTAGGATAATAAACTAAAAGGTTCTTTCCAGTCCATTTACTTAATTCAAATATATTAGAGGAACTAAAATATAAAGCCAGCTCTTACATAACAGCTATTCTTGACACATACCTCCTTGCCAAACTAGCAAGTTCATATCCTGTCCAGTCCAACTTGGCTGGCCTTCATGAAGAACACAAATATTATTCTGCAGCTGATGTATTCTCACATTTGTTGTCTAAGTCTGTTGAAGGTGGAGGTTCTAAAGAATGGCATTCACTTAAAGCAATTTACTTGCATCGTTGATTTTAAGTGTGAAGTCTAGAAAAAAATAACTCCTTCTCATACTTTCTTTATTGTTCCTATTGTATTTAATACAACTAGCTGCTATAAAGACCTTCCTGACAAATATTTCTGTTGTGATGAGGCATTTGTTATTATAGACATTCCTCCACCAGAAGTTGGACTGAGCACTCTCCTGGTGGCCCATTTTCACTTACAGCTGCTTTACTGCCACAAATTCAGCTTGAGGCTCGCTAGCCTGTAGGAGCTTGTAATTAGTGCAGAATTTATACGTCGCCTCACAGAGGTGAGTTCTGAGAAACATCCTTCAGGATTGCTGTATGATCTTTGGCTTCTTTTTTACTTCAAAAACTCATTAAAACTGTTCTTCCTGGCATTATTTAAGCACTCTGGGTCTTTTGGGTCCTGGCATGCTGCACTTTAAATCAAGAAGCCGCCTCAGAAAAGAGCAGATTGCTTGAGTAGTGCAATTTCACATACATCAATTCAGCTCATTTCCTCAGATCTTTGCTGGAGTTAATGGCTTCTCAACCAGTGGGACAAATACAAAGCTGAAAGTTTATGTGGGTTTATTTTTTGACAGGAGCAGAAATGATGAAAACAGCAAAGTGCTTTAGTATCTTAATAAGAGTCCCTTACATGTCTGGTGGCAGTTCACAATCAAAGATCTTGATAAATATCACACAGGTGTGGTGAATACTGTAAATCACTTATTGCTCTGGTATGAGGAATTTCAGTTTGCTGTGGGAGTAGCTCTGCTTCTGCCAGTTTAAGTATGGTGACAATTTGTTTACCAAGTTATTGCTCTTGCTTAACCATTATCCTCTATATTGCATCACATCACTCTTATACAATGTAACATTTTTGTCAGTTTGGTTTAACTATTGGATGTTGAAGGATTTTATCTATTTGGGGTTCCAAATTCATGTGTGTCAATTACAATCCCTGTTTTGTGCTTGATTAAAGTGATCCAGTAGATTCCATTGAAAAGTTATGCATAGATCTGTGACAGTTTTTTCATGTTGCCCAAGTATCCAGACCTGAACTGTAATGTGGGAACATTTCATTTATTAATGCTCATCTTCTTCTCCTAAATATGTTCTTGATCTTAAAGTCTTCTAGCAGATTTGGAAAGGAGAAATTTAACAGATGCATCTTAAAATATCAAATATAACTGTTTCATTCAGATGATTAAGAGATTCAGATTTGCAAAGCTTTTATATCTTTGAGAACAGAAGATTGTAGATTTTATGCAATTATCAAAATATGCATTCAAAAGAATGGCAATCAAAATACTGTCAGTATTTTAAGAGATTGCTTTGTCTCTTTAAAAATTTAACTCACCCTGTAGGTATTGCCTACATTATTTAAACTGCCATCGCTCTACTTTGAAAATTATATTACTGTGATGGATGCAATTTTCAAGAATTTGCACATTTCTGGTGGGATCAGCAATTATTTGATTTATATAGTCAGGAGGACTCTGTTCCAACATAAACTCCATGAAGTCTCACAGATTAAAATCTTCCTGCAATTAAATTTACACAAAACTGCTGCATATAAAACTTACAGAAAGTCTGACTGTGTCTGTTTAGCTCATATCTAAATGCCAGTTCAAAAGATAATGTGGCCTTTACAACTGTTTATTTAGAAAACATCTTGTCATTCATCATAGAATTAGGTGGTGCAAAGATTTGATTATAATTCTTCCAAGACTAACAAAAGATAACATAATTATTCTTCTGATTTTCATCCCAGCAGGAGAGAAATGGAACCACAGGGCATGTTTATTTGTACCACAAACCACATATTTCCTTGTTTAGGAACTTTAATGAAATCATAACCTGACACTAAAGACTATATTAAAGATCTGTTTCAGTTTAGAATGATAAACAAGAGGGTTATAAATCTTAAAATACTGTTTTAGAAGAATAAGTATGTCTGATTGTACTGAGATTTTGTACTGAATTACTACATAAAAAAATAAGACAAGTGGAGAAAAAGCTTTTTTTCCCTGCCAAGAAGATGGAGTCAATCAGCTTGTGGCTCTGTACCACTTCTTTCCCTTTGCTCTGACTGCTGAATGAACTACACTGGCAAGTCAGACATTTCAAATATCTGTTCAGTTTATCCACAGCTCTTTGTGAGCAAATTATCAGCTCTCTGGTTACCTTGCTCAGAGAATACATTCGGAAGTTTTCAGAGTATGTACAAATTATAAAGTTTTCATCACACTGTAACCACAAGTAATCAAAATACTTAGGGTGTTCTGTTTGGGGCATTTCTTGGTTACTCTGATACAACCATTAACCTTCTATCTGGGTGTAGACTGCCTGATATATTTAAGGTGCTTTTGGGGCTTGATCTTAATATCCCCATCTAGAGAAAAGGAGTGTTGCCCTCCCTTGTTTTATGCTCATTTCCATAGTGGTTTATCCACCAGCTTTTTGGCAGCAGCAGGAACCAATCTAATATTAATAGATTACCTGGAAGTCCTCAAATTGACTGCACATCAAAAAGCAAGTTTGAAATGGTGTTTACATTCCAGTAAGGCTGTTGTTTCATTTCAGAGATGTTACATGAAATATAGTGTTAGAAGCTGAAATTCACTGCAATTTTTCCAGAAAGCCTTGGCTAGCTCTAATCAGAAGTAATGCGCTCCTATAGAAATTAATTACTTGCAAATCATTGGGGAGTGGGGGTATTTATAAATGAAAACATAATTTTGAATGTTTGTTGACCCATATTGATAGATTATATTTATTTACAAAATTAATTGCCGCTGATGTAGCTTACCATAAAAAATCTGGTTGAGGAAATGTTTTCACATGTGCATTTACATTCAACTGCTAAGCACAACCAAAAAGCCTGTGTCGGTTGTGCATAATTGGAGTAAATATTTTTTCAGGTTTCATTCATTTGGAATCTAGGTTACAATTCTGGATAAAAGAATTTAAGAGCTGTTTGAGTATTTTGGACAGGAAAATCTTCTTTTTATTTGCTTAGGAAGTATTTCTCAGTCATATGCACTGACTGGACGAAAGTTGCAACACTGAATTGAAGTGACCGGGTCAGTCAGGTCTTGTTGGAGGGAGGTTTATAGGTTTTTTAAAAATGTGTTTCATAAAAGAGTCTTGATTTGCATTTACAGTGAGCTTCTAAAATGGTGCCAATCATTCACAATTAGAGTAAATATTTTTTCAGGTTTCATTCTTTTGGAACTGAGGTTAGAACATTCAGTGAAAATACTGAATGGCACTTCTAACTAAACTGGGCACATGTGTGTGGGAGGTAGTAAGAAACTCACTAGAAGCATATGTTTGGTGTTCCAGGCAATTTTTATTTCATATTTAAAAAATGCCAAGCCCCTCACTGAGAAAAAATCCATTTAACACTTCAAGAATTTGGCCTCTTAATTTTTTTCATCTTTAAATAGTTAGAATTACATTAATCCATCAGCAAACTATTTGCCTCCCTTTGCTGAATGGAGGTTTCATGACTCCAGTGCTGGAGTGCACCAGCACAGCAATGGCTACACCTGGCCATGGATGTGCAGGAGAGGAGGTGAGTCTGACCTTTAGCCACACACCAGAAGGAGCAGAAGTGGGGACTGCAGCCTCTGAGGAAGAATTTGCCAGTTCAAACAGCCCTCACTGCTCCTACACCTATAGGGAAGGGAAGGGAAGGGAAGGGAAGGGAAGGGAAGGGAAGGGAAGGGAAGGGAAGGGAAGGGAAGGGAAGGGAAGCAAGAGGGTGCGGATGTTCTGGGTCTGGATTCAGCTGGCAATTGATAACTTCACAGGGAGTTAATAATCAGGGGATTTTCAAAATTGAATTATTTGCATTAATGCTAAATTGAGTTGACCCATAGCTTCTTAAAATGGTTTTGGAAAAACACACTACCTTATCCCTTGTATGTCTGTTCTTTGTATTATGATATCCCATGCTTTTTGTTGTATTGCCTTTCATTCTTCCCTATTTTTACCATATTAGATTGAAAGTTAGTCAGCATAAAGTATACACAAAAATGTTAAGGAGTTTGGAGACACCTGGCTTGGTGCATCCATGTCTATTCCAGCATAGTGGAATGGTGAATCTAATGACAGCAACTTGGAGAAGGAATGGTGACAATTCTCTGCAGAAAATAATTTGTACATTTTTTTCCTCTTGACAAAATGAAAAAATAAGTTTGATTCTAACACTTGTAAAATAATATGTGATGTTGCTGTGGAGTCTAGGTAGCTGTTCCAAAAATTTCATTTAACAAACACCACATTTGACTATGTTCACAATAAAATTTCTTGAACTGATATATCATGACTTCAGTATTTGTTATTTCAACATCACATTGATGTGACTGTCGCTCATTCTTTAATGGCTAACCATATATACATTTATTGGGGTACTTGAAATTGGGATCAATAGGTAATCGAAACTTAATAACTCCTGCTACACAGTACATAAAACTATTTTAGAAGTTTTCCAGCCTTTTAGATCATGCTTACTTAAGTTAGTATTTTCAAACCTGAGTTAGTCACCTGCAAGTGAAATTCTGTCTCCTTTGATTTCCATTTCAGTTTTTCCATTTCACTGAACATGATTAAGGTTCCACCTATAGGCTGTATTTAAGCACCTACGTTTGTAGTCTGTTTTTATAGACATGTCAAACACATAATTCCTACTAAAGTCACCATACCCTATATATGCTCAGCATTCCTGGCACCTGGGATAAATTTTAGATCTAATTCTGCAGGTGTTCCATGTCAACAAAGTACTGCACCTGCCCAGAATTACCAGTATGCTACACTCAAAGCTCAACAATGACCATTTCTGTCGGTTTCCCCCCTCAAATTATTCTATATGCTATTATTCTATTTCTTGTAACACCTGTGTCTGTCTGTCTAAAACATCGTAACTTGGCATCTATGTCCCAAATTTGCGTTAGCAAATTACCAAGTATGATTCTAGTACCAGAATCACTCCAGCATGTTTTGCTGTGAATTTCACACATGCAAATTGCATTGGAATTTTTGTCATGGCAAAGATCAACATACTGGTATGACCAATTGTTATTCCTTATGACAATCTACACCGAACTCCTTTTTTTTTTTTTTCTGATGTAGCACTGCTCTATTATAAAAATCCTCATTTTTACCAGAATTGACAAGTTCTTAGTCTTCCTGCAGGAAATCTGGAAGGTCTTTCAGGCATCTATCATGAGCTCTTCTGATCCTAATGTTGGTGATCTTCTTGCGTGTTACATGGAATTGAAATCAGAATGTATTATCTATGCTGCCTCATTGAAGTACACCTCAGAAGGAATAGCACAAATGCCACCTTGGAGTTATATTTATTAGATTTGTATCTACTATTTTTATTAGATTTGTATCTACAACCATTGTTGTTCTAATACGTCATACCAAAAATGTTAAATCAGTAAACTTAACACATAAATAAAATAATCTGCTTTCCTGTCACTCTTTTCAGAGTAAGTGTTACTTTCTGATAAGAAAAACTGCAAATAGCCAGTTGCTTTGAGAAGTTCATTAATAGGGACAAAGCTGGTTTATTTATTTATTTATTTATTTATTTGATCTTAGAGAAAGGTTAGAAATATTGTATCAAATGATAAAAAGTTATCCAAATGATTACTGAGCCACTTGAAGCCCTATCTTCTCCTTAATACTGTACAGTAGCTGTCAGTTATCTTTAGAATAAAGCTTCTATTCCAGTTTTCATAGCAAAGCAATATTACAGCAAATGTGTTACTTTTAAGAATTCTACAGATCTCTTCACTTTAATCGGTCCTTTCAAAAAAATACAGATTTCTCAATTAGATGTTTAAATATATTTGAAATTAGAACAACAGAAGCCAGCCTGAAGTACAATTTAAAAAATTAAATGTCTGCTTTGAATGCATTTTTTACTACACAAACCCACAAGATCAAATAATATCACTGTAAGCATATTTTCGGCACACTCATAAAAATAATCACATAATGCATACCCAGATGCTTAATGGTAAACTATGCTTTTGAACACTCTGAACAAGGGCTGTGATTCCAAATAGCAGATATGTTCAGCTCCAGCAGCTGCAGTCATTGCTGCCTGAGATATCTGCCAGAGGTTACCATCCTTCTGCTGCTCCTCAGCTGCCTGGTCTAATGAGCTCTCAGCTGACTCACAGACTAACTCACCAGCTACTACACCAGCTGAGGAGAGAGAGAAACTCCATGCAGCTCTCCAACATCTGTCAGGGAAACAGACCAGGCCACTGGTACAAGGAGTAAAAACCTCTGGCAGCCAAGGCTAGTTCTGTCTAGATGGGAAATCAGAGCCCAAAGATAGAGCTCAGTCAGCTGGAATATGCCTACCTCATATTAGTGCAAACCTATGCTCTATGGCTTGCAGTGACTTAAAAGGATAAGCAAACCTTGTAACAGTAAAGTGCAGCAAAGAGGTCTATGTAGAAAATGACATAATTCTTTAAGTCGATGAGTTCCAGATTAATAAAACATGCTGACCAAACCAGATTGTGACCCTTGCCGTGCAGGGAAAGTCCTTCCTTTCAGGAATTTCACACTCATACTTTTTTGGGGTTGATTTCTTTCTGGCCATTTCTTGTTTTAATGGCCTTTTTGGGGCCACTGATCAGTGGGTTGGTGTTCTTGGTTTGCGGTTTCAGGGCTCCACTCTGACCACTGCGTCCCGAATTCTGGCTCTTGCTGCGCGCAGTTCGCCGTTTCTGTTCTTGCAGTCTCTGTTCCCACCGCTGTAGAAACACAGAAGACAAAGAGGATGAGTTAGGGAAGGACATAATCACAAATAATTACATCCTAATCAGAGCTATCCAGAACCACTGATGCTAGTGCTACCTTTAACAGCCTCATGTTCTATATTGCAAGGCCATTGATGTCAGCATGTAATGGCTATTTGCAGGGAGTGTGTTCTAGGTTAGAGAGACACCAGTTGATGGAAATGACAACTGCCCATCTCATGTGCATGCTGCACGTGAGTGCCCTCTCAGAAATAGAGGGGAGCTGGCATCATGCCATCAAAAAGTCAGGACCAGCACACTGGAGCTCCTTCGTAAGGCCCTTCTTTGCTGTCCTGCTGGATGTGCTACTTGACTTTTCCTCAGAAAAGTCTACAGGAATCAAACCATCCATTCACAATATACATTTAAGCACACAAGGGGAGCTAGCATTTACTTTCTGCTTCTGCTTTTCCCTGGGGTGGAAAGGGCTGGGCAGGAACAAGCTTATGCTATGGACAGGCAATAGCAGTGATCACAATTAAACCACACTGTTGAGAGTTGCAACAGCATGGTTTGAATAATGCACCTGCAGCTTTGTTCAGCAGCATCCCCAAGAAATTTTGAAAAGCACTGATAACAGCTGTCAGATTTTCATATCCAATAATGCAGTAGTTACAAAATAGGTTTTTACAGTTAAGTTTGACTGGTCAACTCTCCAAAACATGGAGGGATCCATAAAACAGCAACAGAGGCTGCAGACTTTCACCTCTAGGAACAGAAACACCTACTTTAAGGAAAACAAGGTAGGCAGTAGAACCCAGAAAGGATCTCACCTCTCCCCTCTATTATCTTTCCCTTCTGCAATTGCTAAAGGCAGCAGATTTACCCAGTGATCACAGCAAGAGAAATGTTCTCCAGCTTGCCTATTCAATATCTCTGCACTGACTTTGTTGCAGCTCAGACTCTTGTCCTGGCTACAGAAAAAGACCAGCAATGTTGTGGTTATGTTAACAACTGTCTTCTGTGGTTGACAGACGGCTCAAAACATCCATTGTAAGTGGTAACTCTACACAAAATTTGGATGCAAGTCTTCAGAGATGAATAATGGGCATTAAAATGAAGCCACTGTGATACCTAGCTTCATACCGGCTCTGTGTGGTCAGAGTTATTTTATTCATGTTTATAAAACCAAAACTATCAGCAGACATTTAGTTGTATCCCACTCAAATACGTTTAAATGAGGATTTAGTTTCTGAAACTATTAATATGAGAGGAAATTACATGTGCTTTGAAGGACATTTTTTTTGGCAGTCATGCATCTATTTGACAATCTGAAAACTAATGCCCAAACATGATTCAAGACACAATTAGAAATGACAAAACAGTGTGAGGAGGTGACTAAAACACAATGTGCGCCAGCAACAGGCCATTAAGTTGACAGCTAAAGGATTTCAGGAATCCAAGTCATATGTCAATATTCTTCTAAATCCCACATGGCATCCTCTGCAACTGCCATGTATTTATTTTTTAAAGATTTAAAGCATGTTTTCTTTTCCACACATAGGTTTCAGATGAGTAAGGGAAGAGGGTAGGAGAGAAGCACTGAATGCAATTTCCTGAAAGAAGCTGGTCTATAATCTAAAAGCTTTTTCTTATGGATTCCTAGACCTCTTTTCCTCCTCTCTATCAACTGCCAATCAACTCACAATTAAAACACACATGTATGTCCATAAATATACATGTATGTCCTTAATGCTCTGAAAACCTTTCTGAATTCCAAAAATAATTTTCTTCCATGTTTAAAACTGGGAGGAAGAATCAGACCTTCTCTCAATGCATCCTTCCTTTCCATTAAAAAGAGGAGTTTACAAGCAGAGAGTGATATCAAGTGCTATCCTGAAGCCACAAAAAGCAGGGGCATCTGCTGTGCCTGCCACCCATGTCTCTATACTAAAGACTTTTCCTCCCAGTGTTTCCTGAATCCAGAGAGACAATGCCCAATCCCTTGGGTGGGTCTTAGTAGGGAGTACTTGGTGAGAAGTGTGTGTCTCTAGCCTGTAATCTTTAATGCAGCAAAAAAAACATTAATCCAGTGCAGAGAATTTTAACTTCCTTTCTCAACTAATGTGGGCTATGTACTCATCTGCATATCACCTTCACTTTCATATCTTCGCTCCTTGTGGTAGCAGGGAAATGAAAGAAATTCCTAGAGATGTTACTGTAAGAAACCAGAGTTCATACAAAGATCCTCCCACAGAGTAAAATTAAAGAGAAAAAAATTTTAGAGACCCTAAACCACAAGATTAAAGTATTCAAATTTTCACTTATACTTGGGTAACTATGAGGGCTGAAAATGTTCAAGTGAGAATAATGACACCCAGTGGAGTTACAGATATCTGAAGGTCATCAAAGTTAATCAATACTGAAGTGAAACAAAGGTGTTTAACTTTTTATCAAGAACCTCAGCATTCTTTTCTTTTTGTATTTACCTTAAATCTTCTGTTTAGTTGGTCCTTCCATTTTTCAACTAGACACCCATCAAGGAGCATCAACCTGAAATTAAGAAATATACACAAATTATAGGTATTTCTAATTTTAATTCCTGAGATGTCATTCCAGATGATTTGATACAGATTGGGGTTGAAATGCACCCACAGGTACTGGTACTGACAGGTTTTATGGATGGGATGATGGGATACCATGTTTCTCTGTGTGTTTGTGTGAAGAGTAGATTCAACTGATGCCATTTTACTTCTGACTTTAAAAAAGAAGCTGTTTCACATGCACCAGCTAATACAGCTTACCTGAAAAACAGTAATATAATTATATGATCACTTACAATTGTACCCCTTTCTACCTATAAATACATGAGGATGGCAGTACGTGTTTCCTACATCTAAGTCCTTAATGAGTGCTTTAAGGTGAATTTGGAAGATGTATGATTAGTGATACTTGCCATACTTGCCTACCAGTGAAATGTGGCTAGCTCCTGCATGAAAACACTGAGTCTAGCTGTTATGAAATAAACAAAACAAAAATGTGACTATTAAATATATATGCCTTAAACAGCTCCTAAAGCAGCTTATTCTAAAGCAGTCTTATGTCACACCTACCACATTCCAGCCCAGTGACAACTTTTGGGGTTTTTTTGGTTGGTTGGTTGGTTGGTTGGTTGGTTGAGATACCAGGCCTTAACATGCCCTAATATAAATTCCACTAAAATTCTGGTTGTATTTAGACACCAGTGCTGGCTGGAAACATCAAGACATAGTTATAAATGCACACAACATCACACAGCACTGTTGTGGCTGGTGAAGGTTAAATAGTGTAGCAGGACCTGACCTCCAGTTTCAATGAACAGCATCAGTGCTCTTAGCAGCTCAAACACAGAAAAAAATGCTGCCTCCTGTAGTCATTAGCCTCTGTGCATCCAGTTTGACCAAACATAAAAGGTCTAATGTGAGTGCAAACCTTGGAGAATCAGGACCAATATGCTGTAAATTTCTTTCCAAAGAGAAATTAGACAACTAACGTAATAGGATTGATGCCAAGGCCATACTGCCATGGATGAAACCACAACATGGGGTACATCTGGCACAGCTTTGTTCAGGTCAAATTATCCAGTGAGGCTCTAACCCAAACAACAGGCAATAGGTATTTTGCCATTGACTGCAGAGGAGGTACAGCTTCCACTTATTCTGCCTCTGTCATTTTAAAAAACTGCTGTAACTCAAAACCTTCTGTTTTCCTGCCACTGAGTTCAACAGGAAGCACATATAATAGTTTATGTTTCTTTTTCAAATCCACTTTAGTACACTATATGAAATTAAAAACCTCAATGACCTTTAAAAACCATCACAAGACATTTAGTGAATCACGTGTTTTTTCCATAATAATGGAGATGCTGATTGTGATCTTTGACTTATGAAATCTCCCTTTCCTAACAGCCTCCAGAGGATCCTCTGCAACCCAGAACTCCTCCACCGCCGTTCTGGTCATAGTCCTTCTACATGAGTCAGAGCTTGTATCCCTAAAATCACTAACACAAAGACAAGGCTCTACATTAATATTTGTGAAATACTTCCAGACCTAGAGGGGCAAAGAGATGATAGTAAAATAATACTGTGTCTGCTCACAAGACAAAAACAAGACAAAGCACTAAGATATCAGATGGCAAATTTTAGAAACACCTATAAAATGCTCCCAAAATATCAACATAAAGCTCATTAAAATTATGGGCATGGCCTACCACATCCCACATGTGGATGTTCCGTGGTCCTTACAAGTGTGTGTGGCCAATTAACAGTAACATCACAGTATGCAAAACCAGCCTGCACATTTTACAGACAGCCTTGCTTCCCAACTACAACACACAGGCCTACACAAAACCAATAACACCACAAGCTGCTCTGCTGGCATCTACTAGTGCGCTTGGGGGGCTAATGTGGATGGGATGTCCCCTTCTGCCTCAAGGAACCAGGGAGAAAAGGGAGCTGTGATTCATCACTCCTTCCCATCCAAGCCAGCATGCTGGATTTCCTTCCATGCCTGGGGCTAGGCTGACTGCCAGATGAAAGGTCTGGTAAAGTTAGTTTTGTTTTGTTTTTAATTTTAATCATACAGCAGGACTGGCAAACTGCTCTAAGAGTATTTACTTTTCATCTGCCATCTGGGAGCTGGAGCTCCAATGGCTGCAGCTTTGGCTGGTCCCGGTAAGGCTGTGGGATCAGAAACATCTTGTTGATGGCGCTGGTCCAAAGTAGGGACAGGCCAGTGGAGAAGTCCTGGCTCTGACTCCAGCAGCTCTGCTGACAGAGGATGTGTACCATCTTCTGCCCACTCCCCTGGTGAGGCAGAACGATGCCTTCCATGTGGTCCTGCCAACACAGACCATCATCTACGGCCACCACTGGGCCGTAGCAAAGCAACTCATCCCCATGGAAAGAGGTCCTGAAAAAACACTCCCAAGCTGGAGGTGACTGAACTGCTGCATGATGCTTTATCAATATGCTGTCAGCACCTAATGCCACCAGATTTTATGTTCTTTGTGTGAGTCAAATTTTGTAAACACATCATGGCACAGAGCTGAGGCTGATGAAATGGAGAAAGTCAGCTGTGAAGGTAATGGAAACATGTACATGTATGTATGAGTTATCCTAAAACAAGCCCGTGATGAGGAAGAGAGATTTACTGGTACTCCTTCCCATCCATCACAGCCAGCTCTAACACTTTTCTGCAACACATCACAGCTCACCTTGAGCGCCACTCATAGCACATGATGAGAACATCCTGCTTTGGTTGAAGAGGTGGGCACTGGCAGGAGGAATTTGTAAGAAGAGGCACTTGGGACAGAGGAATTGGTGTTGAAGACTTGAGTATGTCTTTGACTTCAACCACAGTGGTTATCTCGTTGCAGTTCCCTCTTTCTACACTTTTTACTTTAGCATGAATGACTACAAATAGAAAAACAGAGGAGTGAGAACAATAAACAGTCTTGGAAATCAAAATTAAATAAAATATATTGCAATGGAAGCTGTTGTTTTTGTTGTGAAACTAGAACTACTTCTGCCTGTGTGGGCATGAACAGTGGCTTAGAATAACAGAGGCCTGATCTCAATTTGGTTTTCAGTAGGACTGTTGACAACTGTAAAATTAAACATGCGCTTAAATCTTTGCCAGATCAGACCAACCGATCTTGCCTGGAATCACACACACAAACAGCTCCTTCAACTCAGACTTGAAGAACCCTTTGCATAAATCTAAGCCATTCTCCAGCCACATCTGGCTATTTCTGACTAAGTAATGAATAATTTACCTCACAGACAGTTGTCACAAATTCAGTCTTTTCAATAATAAAATCACTTCCTGTAGATTGTAACCAGGAAATATAGTCTTTTCTTAAATATAAGAAACAAGGGAAGGCTAGAAACGTTAGTCAAAAATCTAACAGGCTTAGGATTTCCATGATTTACTTGAGCAATACCTTTTTTCATGTTTTGCCTTTGGATTCTCTACCAATAGTGAGATCATTATATAAACGAGACACTGAAAAAGGCTCTTCTGACTCTGAATACACAATCATTTGTATTTTTACCTTTCATTAAGGAAAACTGCATGTCTGCACAGATGCAAGAAGGTGAAGTACTGTAGATTGCTCTGAAATGATCCCTGGGCTGGCTTTGTGCCTACAAAACTCTGGCATCACCTACCACTCCAGCATTTCATCTCTTCTCTCTTGTGAGAAATACCAGATTTAATAAATTAAGTATGATTTTTACATAAAGGATTTTGTCTCTAGGAAATGTCAAAATAGAAAGGGTTCTATTGTCCAAAAATTCCTCAGTGAAAGAAGGATGAGAAGTGTATAGACCACAGGGTGATCAGCCTGCCCCTGCCAGCCACAGGGTCAAAAGCCTCCACATGAACCTCATAACATTCGGAATAAACTTCACACAATGAAAACAGGAGACCAGCACTGTTAATGCAGTCTGGGGTTTATGTGCTACCTTTATCAGGACACATATAACAGACACAAAACGTGAGGAATTTCAGTTTTGGAGACTCACAATCTATTTTCAAGTCTGTTTGGTACAACTGAAAGTACAATTTGGCTGTATGTCTTATTTTAAAGGTTTTCAGAGAAAAAAAAAGATTGATTTTCAACTCATTAAATCTTGTCCCTCAATTCATTTTCCATATAAATAGGTCTATTTATCTCACAGGGTGCTGAATAAAAACTTACATCTCAAAAACAAAATCTTGATTTCACAAATTCAATGGAATTAAATTTTGGACCCTGACATACAGGTTCTACTCAAGGAATACTCCTACTGAAACCACTGGAATCAGAATTTACACAGCTAACAACTGCATTTCATTTTGGAACAGACATTTGATATCACTACTTTTCATATGTTTCAGGAAACTACAGAAAATCATTGTTCCACCTAAACATATCTGTATGTTGTACTGACACAGATCAAAGAATTATATAAAAAGAATAAGTCATGTAAATGCACCAAACTGCTATAATGAGCAAAAATTGTGCGATTACCTAAGCAGGGGTTCAGCTTGATTATTCCCACCAAACATGCTAAAAAAGAAGGAAATAGCTACAAACTTACTTTGATATCAAACAAATAGGAACTGAACTATATTATAACCCTACTGCAGTAGAACTAGATAAATGACTGGGAAAAAACCTGCCATTGAGAAAAGACCCACGAAGTGCAAAATGAAGCAATACTGCATAAAGAATTCATAGTTAATAGGGGCTTTGTATTGACACTAGGTTTAATCTGGCATTTATTTAATCTTAATTAAAGTTCTTCCTGACTCACACCATCAGAAAGCTGAGGCAGGGGGAAGCCAAGGGGAAAAAGGGGTGAATAGTTATTTTTGTTGCCAATATGTCACCCAATGTATAATAAAACTATCAGCTATCTCCGTGGCTGGATGGTGCAAATTGTCACTGAATTCAGTTAATCTCTGGCAATCCTGCACCAACCAGAAATCAGGCTAATAAGTAAAAGCATATGAAAACTTCTAAAAACTTTTTACTTTGCTGCAGCTGGTTCACATTTACAAGTTTTATTTGGGTAGCAAACCCCTGTTTATTCTACCTGCTGGATGAGAACAGGAGCTGGCCAAGTCATCACACACATCAGGCATAACTGCTTTTACTATTTACTAGAGTGACCTTTGCAGCAGGAACCACCCCTTCTGTGGAGCAGAAGGGTGCACATTACTGACATTTCACTGCATTTGTCAGAAACACACCATCATCTGTGCCATTACTACTACTGCCTGCACATGGTGTGTGCTACAGCTGGATTTTGGAAGAGGACAGCTAGGTATTCCCTGGCAAATACCCACTTGGAAGGGCTGTGTTGGAGGAGTCTTCCCATGCCATACTTGCTGGATGGTGCCTGGTGTGAGTTCAGCACCCACACAGAGCTGCCTAACTTGCAGGGACACAAGGAGGATGTGGGGCAGGCAAAGTGAAGCATTTCCCCATGCACTTACTGTAGCTGTAGTTCTTGGCCAAGTAGGTTGACAGCGTAGGCTTTGTCTTTTTGCACCTGCACCGCTCTTCAAGGGAAGAGAAGGGAGAAAGGTTGAGAGGTGTCAGAGGGACCCTGTCTCCAGGGAGGTGGAGGCGGGGGATCGTCCTAGGCTCACCCTGGCCACGGCTCCTGCAGTCAGGCTCCAGGGGTCTGTCCGGCACCATAAAGCCCTGTGTGAAGTCCGTCCACTTCACATCTGCAAACAGAGGCGCGTCAGGAAGAGAACACTGTCGGTAGAGGCTCCAGGACTGGAGCGTGGGGGTCCCGCAGCCCCCCCGTCCCAGCCCGGGGCGTCCCGCGGGGGTGGAGGGAGTCCTCCCTCCCACCTCTCGCTGCCCCAGGGTTCTCACCCTCCGGCACGTCGGTGACGATGGCCTCGGGGGAGATGCAGACGCCGCGGTCGTAGACGGGGAGGTCGTCGCAAGCCAGGCTCTCGGGCCAGCTGTGGTTGTAGCGGCGCATGATGGGCTCGCAGCCGTCGCGGGCGCGCTGGCAGACGGAGCGGCACGGCTTGATGGGGTCGTAGAGGAACTCCAGGGTGCAGATGGGGGCGTACATGGCGCAGAGGAAGAAGGACAGGACCGGGCTGCAGCCGGTGGCGACCAGCTCCTCGTACTGTTCGATAGCGAGGACAGCGTTTTCCTGGGTGCTGTGGTGGAGGTGGTTGGGCATGCGGGTGATATTCCAGGGCATGGAGCGGCACATGGGGATGCGCACCGCCTCGCACGGCGCGCCCTGCGCCCGCGGGCTCACCCGCAGCCACAGGGACACCGCCACCAAGGCGCGCAGCATCCTCTTCCTCCTCCTTCTCCTCCTTGTCCGCCGCCGCCCGCCGCCGCCCCGCGGGTCTCGGCGGCCGAAGGGCGCGGAGCGGCGCTGCCTCCCGGAGCCCGGCTGCAGTCAAGTCGCGGGAGCCGCCGCGCCGACAGCCATGGACATCGCGGGACCGCATTTATACCAGTGGCACGAGTGACGTGGGGCCGATCGCTCTCCCTTGGCAGCCCCGCTCCTCCGGGGGGTGGGGGGTGTGCGTGTATGTGTGCGTTTTGCTGTGCAGGCACGGTGACATCACCTCCACCCCGTTTAATCCCCCGGCGACATCACTGCGTCTCTCGGCCGCCGCTCTAGCTCCGTTTCAGTTTTCATCTGTGTCATAAATTCCTTCAGGTGGAAGGGGGGCGAGGGGGAGGGAAGGAAACCCAAACCACACGGTTCTGCCGCGGGGCTCTGCGCTCCGGCGCGGGGAGAGGGAAGGCGACGGTAGGAACCGCGGCTTCTTCCCGTGGGGCTAAACTTTACACGCCGCGTTTTCTCAAGGGAGAAGAAACTTTTTGCGGGCTTGAGAGAGCTCCGGCGGCTGTTCCCGACGCCTCCAGGGGGTTGCAGAATTCCCTCCTTGAGCTCGGCACGGACGGGGAAAGGCGTGAAGCGCACGGGCGGACAGACGGGGTGGTGGCTCGTGGCTCGGTTTGCTCGGGACAGGGGAAGCGGCGGCGGCCGGGCCGAGAGAGGAGCGGGCGGCGGGGCCGCTGTGGGGCTGCTGTGCGGACAGTCACTCCGCCGCCCCGCTCTCCCCGCCGCTGTTCCCCACCAATCGCATCTGCACACGAGCGGAATAAGGGGTTTCAGACTTTTTCCCAACCTGTTTTTTTATTTTCCTTTCCATGGTGCTCCAAGGCCACGCGACCGCTGTGCAGAGGAGTGGCGGGGCCAAAGGGCTCCCTCATCCCTCACAGCCCATCTGTGTTCCCCCTTGCACGGAAAGACCGCCGGGCCCGTTCTTCCCTGTGGGAAATGCCGCTCCCCAGTCTTTGAGGGACCCGCTGAGATAAGAAGATTAACCGAGTGTCAGGTTATCCCAGTGACCTGAGAGAGCCGCAGCGTGGCTCCGAGGTACCTGCCCCGGCCGGGTACCGTGGTGCCACGGGTGTTGCCCCCGGCAGATGCAGCAGAGCTGCAGGGACGCAGCACCTGTGGGGCACGGGCCTCCCCTTCCCTTAGTGGGTGAGGAAAGCACGGCCAGGAAACAACAGCTGATACACCTAAGAGGGCAGTAGGAGATGAAGGAATACATGTGGTGGAGGAATGCTTGGTGACACCGTCTGTACGTGGGGAGGCACTAAAATACCCCCCCTCGAAAGCAACATTAGAGCAGTTTGTCCCAGCAGGTCACTCCTGTTCGCGTATCCCCTCCCTCCTCAAGCGCACGCATAGTGCCCAGGGCTTGGAGCTCGCAGCTGCCCCTCTGGGCAGCCCTGGCGGAGCAGTGGGCACGGCCAGGGCGCCCAGACCCTGCCGGCTCAGGGGAACGAGGCCTGAGAGGGCGAGGGTCCCTGTCGCCTGTCACCGCGCTGCCTCGTGCCCCGCCGGCGTCCGGGCGCTGTGGCGGCGGGCGCCTCACGCCTCTGAGGTGATGCGGGTTTGGAGGCGGGCCGCCCCCGCCCCCCGGCACAGCCTGCCCGCCCGCCTGCGCGCCGTGCGGGGCGGCCGTGCGCCGAGGCAGCGCGGCGCGGAGCGGAGCATGGCGCGGCCGGCGGCCGGGCAGCAGCTGCGCCCGGAGCCGGGGCCGCCGCTGCGGCTGCTTCTGCTGCTGGGCGTCCTCCTGCTGCGCGGCGGAGCGGCGGCGGCGGCGGGGGCCGAGCCGTGCCAGGCGCCGCGGCAGTGGGAAGGGCGCACCGTGTTCTACGAGCACGGTTCGGGCCGCATCACGCGGGCCGCCGTCTCCTACGACGGCCCCAACCAGCGCCTCCGCATCCTGGAGGAGAGGAAGGCGCTGATCCCCTGCAAGAAGTAGGTGGCGGCGAGACCTGCGGCGGGGCCGGGCCGGGCCGGGCGGGGCGGTGAGGGTCGGCACGGAGCCCGGAGGCGCCTCCCGGGGGGTGTGCGGTGATGCCAAGCCGGGAAGGGGGGTCTCCCTCGGGCCCCGCCGTGCCGGCGGCTCCTCCCCTGCGTGAGTGGGGGCTGGCGGGGGCGAGGCACCGGCGTGCTGGGAACAGCTGGTGCTAGGAAACCTGTCACCAGCATGGTTTGGATCCTTGTAGATATATGTGTATGTATTTGTGTATATATATCTCCGTGTAGATGTATGTGTATATATATGGAGAGATTTATGATCAACGCTGTCAGCTTTTTACCTTCAGAAGTACTCTCCTCCTCCCAGCTGTTTCGTTACTCAAATGGAATTTGAAACGAATCCAAAAATTTGTGGTATAATGGGTATCATGAGATATAATGAAGAGGTTATACTCAAACATGTGAGTAACTTTGTGGAATAAGGAAGGAGGCTTTAGCTCAGTAATTTGCTAACAAGTTTGAGTTACAAGTTCTCTGGGCCTTCTTGGTCCTTCTCAGTGCTTGGTCCTAAGTCAGTGCCAGGGTGTCAGGATGCATCCATTACCTGTGGCACAGTGTATTCATTCCCATTGCACAGCCCTGCAGGACCTTCCTGTTCTTCATTTATACAGGATGTATCTGTTAAGCCCATAACTAATCCCAAAAAAATCCCTGTGTCATTGTCTGTTTCTTGATTTGCTGAAAAACAAACATAGAAAAAAGCTGACTGAAGAAGAGCCTCTTTTTCCTTCCTCAGCCTGCCAAGCTCAGTTTGGGTGGAAGAACTGATGGGCCTAGAGAGGCCTTCCTGAGTGAGACATTTCTGGCTACTGAGTGTCAGTCACTTTCAGACAACATGACAATACATTCCTGCCAGTGTGAGAGTAGCAGGTCTGTCCATACCTCTGCTCTCCCACCTATGAATTGTTCAAATAATAGTGCATCCGTCCTGGGGATGTGTGAGACAAGGTAATGACCAGCCTACAAGTGCTGTGTCATCCAAACTAATGGTCTCTCTTGTTAAAAGATCAATATTCCTTTTTCCTGCTGTTTTTTTTTCCCTGACAATCAATTTCATACCAACATCGCACAGTAATTGTTTTAATCTTTCCAAAGCATGTGCTCTTCTGTGATCCTTTTCTCTCCAAATCCCCTGATACTTGTAGAACTGTTTTGTGTGTTTCATTTTCAGGCTTAACTGTCCCTCATTGTCAGCTTTTTTCATTACTGTTTTTGCATAGGAGCCATGTGAAGAATGTTTAAAGCAACGTAGAGGTGTTTGCTGGTGGTCTGCTGACATACAGCATGGAGTCTGACACTGGCCATGGGGTGCTCATGTTGCCTTATTCTGCAAGTCCTAGGTTAACTTTAATGTTTGACAAGCCTAAAACTGTGCTGCAAAGCCTGACACAAGTCTTTTCTAGCTTCTAAGTTGTATTACACTCATTTTTTTCAAGCTTATGTTTACTTTATTTGAAAAATTTAAGATTGAATAATTACTCTACATTTTAGACTGTGGGCCAGATTTTGTCTTTTTCCAAGATCTTATATTTTTACATTTTTGATAAATACCTGCTGTGGATGCAGTTTTGTCTGGGTTGGTAGCACTAGAAAGAGGCAGAGTGCACACAGGTGTGTTTGTTGATTTCTCCTGTATTAGATTTTTGTTCTAGACAAATTTCTGACCTCTGAGGTCCTTTTTCTGCCATCCAGAGTTGGAGAAGGGTTGATGTTGTTATATGGGCAGTAGTGTCTGCTCAGGGCATGACCCAAGCTTCCATTTAATTCTACAGAAGGTCTCCCATTGGTTTCAGTATGTGTTGGATCAGGTCTAGAATTGTGATCACAACTTCATTTCAGTGTGGACACAGTGACTTGTAAACCAAAGTTTTCAAAAGTTAGAGGCAAAGGGATTTATCCTGTCTTTTGAAAAATAACCTCTCCTCCACCCTGTTTTGACATTGACAAGAAAGGGGTAATTATGCCGAGGCAGTGAGTACAAAATCAACAAGAAAATCAACAAGAAAAATAGTGCTGCCCTGGTCTGTAAGGAAATTTCAGTCTAAATTCTCACATTTGCTCCTATCAGATGTAACTTGTGTGCAGCGATCAGGGTTGGCCAACAACCACATTTTTCTACAGAGCATTTTCTGAAGCTTGCAAATGTGGACCTTAATCAGACACAGCCCTGTTTGAGTTATTGGCTGAGGTTAATCAAGGACACAAAGATTTGCCTGTGTGGAATGGCTTGCAGGCTCATAACCGCAGGAAAACATGAAACTTTCAGGTTTTATTGTAGATCTATGTTTCAAATTCATGTGTTCTGCCATGTGGCGTTTTCATACCTACATCAGCCCAGTAAAACATACCTACCTCAACTCCAGACAAGTAGCCATAAGGTAAACACCCAGTTGCTGCTTCATTAACATCACTTCTTTGTCCATCAGTTGTTTTGAGATCACCTGAGATGGAGTGACCACATTGGTAAATACTGCCCATTCCCCATTGTCCAGCTGCACTGTGTCACCTGCCACCTGGGCACACATCTGGCTTGCCAGACAAGCAACAGAGCCAGCTCATTAGGGAAGTCATAGCTGTGGTTTCAGAAAACCAGCTTGTTGGGTGGATGTTTCTCTAGGTCACACAATTGGCTCCTGCACTCTGGCTCAGAGTGTAAAAACCACCAGCAGTGATCCTAGGCTGAGATTTTTCAAGGAGAACCTATTCCAGTTGGATTCATTTCTGGGCTTTCTTTTTCAATTTTACAGACCCAGCCTTAGCTACACTCTGCTTCTTTTGTTTTCTCCAGCATGCCTTGCCCTGCTGCTTATTGACCCTTCAGGATCAAATTTTTGGGGATAGACAGGGTGGGCAGAGACAATCTTAAAGTTTTGTGTGGTGCTCAGCTGATACTGATAGCAGAAGAGAAAAGAAAACAAACATTGAGTATGTTGTGCTGTTTCCTGTTTGGACTAGGTCATTCCTGGTATAATGTGAAAGGGGAGCACTTGAAGCAGCTCCTTAGACTTCTTGAGGCAAAGCTGAGTTCCTGCTGTTAGAAACAGAGCATGTTTTTTAGTCCTTTGTGGCCTACTATATGAAGTTACTTCCTCTTGTGCTCTCTGGATGTTAAACCTTCCTCACTCTTGTTCAAGCCTCTGTTGGCCTTTATCCCAGGACACTTACAAAATAGGTAGCAGTCACCAGCATGGTTTGCAGATGGAGCAGGACCTTCTTTTTAAGGTAACTTCAAATGCCGTAGGTTTGAGTATGTCATCTCTGCAAACTGGTGAGAAATCTTTGCACACAAAAGTCCAGACAAAAAATCCTACTGACTGCACTGTGGCCAGAACTTCGTGTCGTCCATCACCTTTCATTTTCTTGGAGAAATAGAGCAAGGGTTGTGCTCTTCAGCACTACTGAAGCCACTCAACAGGTGTTAGTGCTCAGTTATGAAGAAAGAAAAGCATGAAGTGAGGAGCAGAGCAGAAATAGTACAGGTGGTGTTTGAGAGCTGGAGTGTTACTTGCCATATGCTGTGTTCACAGAGTTTTACACTTATCTTCCATACTGTTTTCCACAGAGTGATTTTCAGGGAAGGCCCAATAACATACTGTCTTATGAGAAATGTGATGGTGGGAAGAAAAAAATGTCCATGTGGTCAAGAAAGTGAGTAGGAGGAAGAAAATGCTTTTTGTTTTTTCTTCTATGCATGTATTTTAACAGTAACCTCCTTGGCCTATTGTACAGTACTCAGCACATTGAGATGCCTGTATATTTGCAACTTTCAGGGTTAGTGTCTTAAAAACTGTAACTGCATAGCAGAAGAACAATCAGGAGGGACCCTATCAGTGTTAATTTCAAAAACAGAAGTACATGTTGTTAAATTCCTTTAGTCCTATCATATTTGCAAAAGATAGACACAGTTAAGGGGAGGATAAACTCCTCACCTGGCCACACAAACTGCTGGGGTGATAGAGGAGTGACAAAGCTATGTTTAGAGAAATAAGTCTCTTATTCTGGCAGGCTCTTTGCCTGTGTGTGTCAATCCCTGTCCTTGACTGAAGACAGGCAGCATAAGGTCAGGTGCAAATATAACAACATTCATCTGGAGAAGAGCTGATGACTTTTCAAAATAAACAGAGTGTGGGCACATGTGTCTGACTTATCTCAACTACTTTTTAGTTGTTTTAGGATGTGTGATTGTAAAGGAAAAAACAGCGGTGTGTGACCTATTAAAATCGTATAATCCATCCGTTCTGTGGTCGTTGTGGTGACTCAATAGGCTAAGTATTGAGCTACGCTGAGCAACTGCAAATTTGTTTCCCAGACTTGGTTTTGGGAGTGGTTTCTGCAGTTTAATGTTTTGGGGAATAAAAGATTGTCACGGGTAAAATTTTCAGAATTGGCCAAGTTGTCCAGGAACCCAAATTCCATTTTTTAAAGATTATGTAGAATGTGCAGACTTGTGAGACCCTTAATTGCAGTGAAACAGAAATGAATTTTCAGCAGTTTCTCTAAAAGTAATCTGAGTTCTTGGGACCTAAAATTCTTCATAATCTGCTGTATATATAACTCGCTTCTGAGAACAAGAACTGAAGGAAGGTACTTAGACCTCCTGCATTTATTTCCTCCTGTAGGTGTCAAATGTTCTTTCAAGTGTCTCCTGCTGCTAGTGATTGTGAGTTTGGAAAGGTGGCTTTGGAAAGCTGCTGTGCTGGATGCACACTGACTGTCAGATGCCAGGCAATACCCTGAAGCAAGCCTCAGTTGTTCTAATGAGAATTATGTGGTGAGGTATGGAGGGCTGGCTGTAAAAGCCTTAACTCTTGCTTTTCCATCAAAGCCCAATAAACAAGTCAGTTTACTGAGTCCCTCAGTGATGCTCCCTGCCAAGGCAGCTGGTTCCTTGGAGAAGAGCACTGTACATGGAGGAACTGTGATCTGTGATGGCTGCA